CGCCTGGCGCGCTGGGCTTTCTGCCCCTCGTTGCCCTCATTAAGGTGTAAAGCGTTGGGATTAGGGCCTCAGTTTGAGAAACGCTTGGCCGCTGCAGTAGTATGGATGGAAGCAGTGCTTTACCTGTTGTTTTGTTTCCATTCCCTTCTTCTGGTAGGCGCAGCACTAAGGTCGGCCGGCACTGAGGCGTCGAGATGTGTGCACAGCCCCAAACATAAGCGCTTAAAGATAAATTGGTCGTTACGGAGCCGGCTCTTTGACAGGCGCTTCTGCGTACAAATGGAAGCCTACACGTCTTTTGATACGAAATCTGGCTTCAAGTCCTCAAACACTGCATTTTTTTCTTGTAACTATTTTGCAATGGCTCGAACCAAACCGTTGCTGCTAGCGTGGGATTCTTGCAATGTTTTGACCTAAAAAGGTCTCTCAAATTTGCAGCCTTGGTTCTGCGGCAGGAGCACAGTTAGTGTTTAGAGCAGACGGATCTGAGGTCAGCTTGGTTCCTGAACGTCTTCCTGAAGCGGTGGGGTATCCATGCAGAGGAAGGAGAAGTCAGTGCGTAGGTAGGAAAACGGGAACTTGAGAGTCAGGCTCCCGCGTGGTTGTGTGCCTGGGAGCGTGGGGGCACAGCGGAGACCAGCGGAGGAAAACGCGTGCTGAATGCAGCTAATACCCCCGGCAGAACAGCCTGGAACAGACAACGCTTATCAAAACATCTTAATCTGGGACAGGTCAAGCTGGATAAAAGCCTTCTGGCATTTAATACAGTAGCTTATGCCTTTGTTAGGACAAGAGCATTAGTTTCTGTGGGTTTGGGTTAGGTTTTATATCACTGTGCCCAATTACTCTCTAATAAACGCAGGTTACTCATGGTAGTAGCACGGAAAGTGAGGAATACCACATCCAACTGAAAGAAAGAAAACCTAGACAAAGCCCATCTCATTAATCAAATTCCAGCTGAGTACGGCATCAGGGCTATCGTCTCTAGTCTCTCAGACATTTTTTTCCTAATGAACACAAGCAATTGGCATCTTTCCTTTTGATCAGATTTGAAAGGCTGGAGCCTAGCCCCTTATTTTCCTGGTAAGGATGACACAAAGTCAAACCACCACAAGGATCCTGACTTCTACCGGGAAGATCCTCTGATCAAGCACTAATAAAATCCAACCTTGTTTAGCTTGGGAAATAAGAAAACCAGAGCAACGACAAAATACTGCCAGAGGATTTTTTCTGTTCAGTTTATTTTCACTGATGTTCAGCCTCCTTAAGGAGAGTTTTTGATGTGAGAGCTTTGGACACTTTTCCAGACAAAGATTCATTTTTCTCCACTAGCTAGACGGGCAAGATGCCTTTTCGGTCTACTACTACTTATTTGGTTTAGGATCAGGACTTTCCTTTCTATGTATCTTCTTGTTTGTAAAGACAGATTAGCTTATTTCCCCCCCCGGGATAAAACAGCTTTATAATCAAAATTGAAAATGACAAAGCAAAATTTGCTGCTTTTTAAACAGACATCTGCTTGCAACGTGTAAACCACTAAATAAAATTGCCTCTGGTTAGTTGCATGTGGTTCACAAGGAAATGTATCTTAATGTTATCACAAGAAAAATACAGATAATGAGTTGCATACTGAATAAATTAAGAAATATGCTAGTTTTCATCTCTGTATTGTTATTATACAACCTGGGTATGTTTTAATGAGATGTTCCAAAGTTCCTACTCCGTATTACATTGGTCATTAATATTCTACTCTGGTAGTTGTATACTAAGCATATTTTTTCTCTTGACAAGCTATAAAAAATGTACTATTCATGCACATTTAGGCAATAATTTTGATGCACTGTCATTTGCACATATGCTGATGGAATTATAACCTGTATCAATTGTTGGACAATCTCAGAAAACTGTTCTTTGTATAAATGTATGCATACATCATTCAAAGCAATTAGCACGGTTGGGGGAGGATTTGCAGAAAAAAAATATAATCGTATTTCTTCCTTGTTTCTCCTCATTTTTTTAGATACCTCTTCTTCATGTTGGGAAAATTCTATATTTTATTTAATACCAAGGGTCCAAAAGGTCCAAAACATATCCAAAGGTTTGAATACTTACCTATAAAGGAGTGTTTTTAAGACGATTGCGTGCGCTTTGTGGTGATCACAGGGAACCTTGTCTTCTGGAGCAGGATTCACACAGCTCCACAAGCTAGCTAGCTCCACAGCTTCATGTATTCTAGGATGTAAATCTGCAGTCTTCCCAATCAAGCAGAGCAATAAAACAACCTTTGCTTTTGTTATTTAAGTAGTAGTAAGAAAATGATTACCAGAAAGAGGGCTTTAAGTTAAACAAACACAGATACCTTACCTAAAATCCCCTTTCCCAAAGTAACCTAGGAAGCCCATTTTCTTCACCCATGCCTCCTGGTGCCTGTGGGTTCGATCATCCAGCTCTCTCAGACAACGCCTGACAGCTCCCCCAGTCTCAGCTCTATGTTCCTTTATAAAATCTGCTAGAATTTTTTTTCATTGCATGTGTTATTAAGCTTTTTCCTGAGCTGACATAATACTGTAAGAAAGAGCTCCTAAGTATTTGTGGAGATGTGGCTTATCTTAACTGTTCCTTTCCCTTCCTGCTTTGTCTTTCCTGACAGCCCCCATTAAGCTATACAACTATATTCAAATGTAAACATCCTACTAACCATGTCAACATAGCATTATTCATGAATTACTGAGCAGTTCCAAAATCAGCACAGCAGGAGACTGGGAAGGTCATTTTGTACAAGAAGAGAACAGAGACAGGACTGTAACCTCCACAAAATATAAATCTAATTCTTTCCTACTTAAAATTCGATACTTTTGTTGTCCTTTATTCGATCTGTTTTCACTCCATCACTAACCACATATTATATTACTACTTTATGATTAGACTAGCATTCTGTCGTGTCTATTATATAACATCCTTTTAAATCCAACAGACACCTTTACCTATTGACTTCCAATAAATAAGATTCATTCAGTGTATTAAGATCTAAATTCTGAGAACCTGTACGGAAACTCTATGAAGTAATGGGATTCAAGCATCAAGCTTCTAACTCCGTGAAGTTATCATAATGTTTCTGTTTCATATTATACACATCTAAATCTTCTCTGTCAATTATGAGGCTATTTTAGACACTCTTAAATTATCAAGATTAAATTGTGGCATTTTTCCAGCAGGAAGACTTCAAGCTCAGATACTGTTAGCTAATGGGGAGTGAAGGCAGACAAACCAGCTGCTGCAAGACACTGTACTTTCGCATTTGATCATCATTTACTTGATTCATGGCCAAAAACAATCATGTAGGTTTAATAAAGGATAACAAAGTTTAGTGGATGGCAGAGAAATGGAGAATAAGCGATGTCAATCATAGCGTACTGTCAATCTTCTATTGCTAATTCTTGGATTAAGACTACGGCCTGAATTTAACCAGTTTGCCAGCTCCCTTTTGGTTTGACCCTTGCTGTGATGAAAGGTGCTTTTTTCTTGTCCTCTTAGCAAGAGAAATAGGACAGACAAAGGGAGATTAGTATACTTTAGTCATTTGTAGATTTAACTACTATTTTACCTGTTAAATTATTCGCATTGTATTTCTAGGTTTTCTTTGCTCAACACAGTTATTCTGCACAGTTAATTCCCCATTTTTAAGGCAGTCTCATTTAAAAATTTTTGACTCTTTACTTCTCCTATCTTAATTCTGAAGATACAGCAGTTTAAAGAGACTATTCAAGCTATGCCTTCAGCCTTTACTTGATCAAATAAAACGGTAGCTTTACCAAACATTTTCCAGATAAATTGATTCTGACCGTTTCAAAGACTTCTTGGTATGTTTTTGATTGTTAAAGTCGCTTATTAGCTTTCCTGTTGTATAGCACGGTACTTTCCTGGTTGAACGCTGTATTCTAGTAACTTTCTATTAGAACAAACTAATAAATGCAGTCATCTAAGAAACACCGTATTTATGAAGCAATAACATTTTCTCCTAGCAGAAAATATATATTCTGTAGGAAAAAGGATAAACACGTGAAAATTGGGAAATACTGTCAGAGAAACTAAATAAAAATAAAACTATTGTAAATTATTTATGGCCACCTTGAAAGGAGTGGTCAGGGAGAAAACAGTTTCATATAATGGCTCAAAGTCTAGGTTAATGTAAATTCCTTCCGATTTTTCTCCTTCAGTAACCACATCCACAAAACAATAAGAATGACGGGGATTCCTAGCTAACAATCAAATCATGCTATTGGTTTTTAAAAATAGATCACTGTCACCAGGCAGCAAAATCATATAGACAAGACAGTGCATCTTTTAAAATACAGAACGTAAACATGCAGCCCATGTCTGTTCTAGTACTTTTGCAAATGTTGTTTGGATATGTAAATACATGTGACACTTGTATGTGTGCATAATGTTATTAGCATCTACGGTGCAAATCAATAATGGTATCTCTGGCAAAGCAGAGATAAAAAACAGATAAATGCAACTTAACTTCATCACACTTCTGGCTTCTTACATTTTAACATAAATCTTCATATCCTAAGGTTCGTTTGGATTTCTCAGTAATGTTTAACAACAATATCCCACTTTTTCACTCACAGATTGGAAAGCACTTTGCACGTTACAAAAAGTGGGGCAACAAAGTTGTTTCTACTCTGCAAATGGAAAAACTGAGGCACAAAAGAATATCTATTTTTTCCAAGATTGCTATGTCAAATCTCACACCTCTTAATTCAGTTAGGCCAGTGTCCACCAAAACGCACATCAAATTCTTACATTCCTTTCTCTTCCAAATTATCTATGATGATGATAAACGTAGAGCCGTAGAAATGAGCTGGGTCAACCAAAGTCTAGACACGTAAAGTGCATCTTCTTGTACTTTCAAGTAACTGGCACTCAGGAAGAGAGGTGGTCCTAAACTTATGTCTCACCAGGCAAAACAAAGAAAAAATTAAGGCGGTAGATACCCAACGTCTCATCATTACACAATTTGAAAACCATTGTTGCTCAATATGGATTATCTAACACTGGATATATTAGAGGAAAAAGATGATCTATTAAACAGGAATATTGTAAACATGCTAATGTATCTTATCATTATAGCATGTGTGAAATAAAGAGAGGAGTCCATGTTTCTAAAATAATGTCAAACACCTTTTTTTTTTTTAAATAAAAATCACAGGATCTATGTAAAAGATGAAGACTGAAAAGATTTTGGTAAGGATAATTCAGAAATTAACTTCAACTGCCTTAATCAGAAGTTAACTTCAACTGTCATCACATCAAACGAGTCTGCCAATCCAACACTACGAAGCAGGTGGATTTGGATTCAATATATATGTGCTTAGTTTGGTCCTGCTAACTGAACGCTACTACATCCGTATGCTGATATTTTTCTTACCACAATGTCATTTTGTATAAAGTACTACAATATAGTACCTTCAACAGAAGAAGTACGGAGCTTTTCCCATAATGAGCACAACTTCCCTGAAGAGCATTTTAATCTTTTTCTTACTTAGTCTTACACTGACTTTTACAAGGGAATTAATTATTCTTGGCTCTTCCTGCAGTAGCTGACAGATTTGTCGTGAGATTTGGCCAGACAGATACCAACTAAATTTTTCTCTCCCCCTGCCTTCCCTGAGGGACGTCCATCCAGGCTTTTCCTGGCTAACTTCAGAGATGTGCCATTTTATCAGGTACAGCAGAATTAATACGCTATCTTTCAGTAAGCTTAAGAAAATGCAGTTCCCCCGAGTGCTGGGCTCGGATTCCTTTACCCGATCTGCCATAACCTTTCTTCAAAGAGTTGGAATGACCAGTATGTACCAGAAATGACTTTATTTAGTAATTTTGGAAAAAAGCACATCTTCCCTGTCTTCCACACACCTGTCACATTCAAATGACAACTCAACCAGAAAAAACTCTGTACAAACTTGGAATATTAAGGCTGAATGTGTTCGGTATTATATTCTACATACACCGAAGAATCCAACTTTATTGAAACGGCTCAAACTGTGTTTGGTCTAATAGTCCATTCAATGCAGTTTTCCTTTTTCACATTTAAAACGTACTACATCTCTTGTGTACAGTTCAGCAGAAGATTTACAGACCAACTATTAAACACTATTTAGTGCACAGTGGTCAAGTGACTATTCTGGATTGAAAAGCGAGTCCACGTCAGGATCTGTATGACTGCAATGCAAAGTGGAACCAGACAGATCAAACAGAACATGGCATCATGAAGACCTAAAAACAAACTGGTGAAGAAGATGAAAAGACATCTTTCAAGATGAGGAAGATAAAGAATTGACTTTTATAGTCGATTCATGGCAAAATTAAAAAAAAAAACATTCAATTACATTACTGTGTATAATCAGTTTTTGCTAACGTAAATATCTCAGACATCAGATACGCTTCGATTATATTTTCCGATTCTACTTACAGATATATATTGTATGACGCTTGTTCCTTTCATAATAGTTAGTAGGAAACGAGATAAGTAACACACAAAGGGTTAATTTTAAGATACCATAGGCAAGCCAAGAAATCCTGTTCTCTGCTTTAGTACCCATCTGTATTACATGATACAGAAATGAATTTAAAGCAATATAACCCAATTCTAGAGCAGGACATCTAAAAATGTTTAGTGAGACTGAAAAATTTGGAAGGGGAAGAAAAGCAGAAAATAGAGGCAAACATTATAATATGAAACTATTTTTATTTAACTGTAACTATTGCTAGTGAACATTTGCTAATGAGCTGTCCACATAGTATGTTGTTATAGTTGCCAAGTGCTATGTAGAAGTCATGATTAATGCATGAAATTCAGTTACGGTCTAATGGGGCTTTTAAAATATTAAGACTAATTTAATTTTATTGTTTTAAAATAAATGATTACAAGATAATTTAAACCATAAAAAGTATACGTGTGAAATTAACACTGAGATTGTGCTTCATTCTCATGGACGCATGGTATTTCCTGGTCTAAATCTTCTCTAAGGAATAACAGATAAAATAGAGCATCAACAACTGTGAACCAAGGAGGAGAATATACGAGTAAAATAAATCCTCTTTTAGGAACAGTTTGGTTTCTGACAGCTCAAAGCATACATTTAGGCATCCAGCTAGTAGCTGGAATCATTATCTACTGGCATTCTGTTAATTATTGGATTGTAATTACTTAAATATCAAGAAAGTGAACTCAAGCTGAGAAACAGCCTCTACATGAACTCTCTCTCCAAGAGACAGTTTAAGTTATTTTCTGTTTTTTCTTGGCATTCAGGAATGGGCTGGAAGACTCACAGAACAGCTATGGACATGGTCCAAAAAAAAAAAAAAAAAAAAAAAAAAGAAGTCAGTGCAAATAACTCTCATTAACTTGAGCAGGCTTTTGAATAAAATCTAACAGGTACTTTGAATCATAAAAGACTTAATCCACGTCTCACTGCATTTAACAGAAAATCTCTGGCAACCTCCAACATAAACCAGATTTATTCCTTAGTACATATACACACTCACACAACAATCCGCATTCATCTTACCTCATGCAGTTGCTAATGCTAAGTAAGAAAACAAAACCTCACAAGTTTACAACTGAATGACTTTTAATCTCTCGGGCAACTGGATTTAAGAAACGGAACTGTTTACTAGCAGGTCACTGGTCCATAACCAATGTTTATTGGCAGTGACAACAGTTTATCGTTTGGAGGTTGTTTACTGGCCTGCACTCAGTTGCATTCTCAGTCCATCTCGAAGTAAACAAGGGCCCATGTCATGCACACCACCATCACAACTGCCACTAGTTAACTGCATGAGCAGGGCCAGCACGGAGGCCACTGATAAACTACTTACCTGAAGATGAGAGCAAGACAAAGGCACAGTTAATAGGATGCTGGGGCTTGCACTTGGCCTGTTCTGCACACTGAAGAGGACTACAGTTTTCAGTACTAAAATTCTTGTGTATTTATACATAGACTTCAAGAGGGACAAAAAAGAAAGAATATCTGCCAAATCACTGAGTTACACCGCTGCAATCCTGATATGGTTTTAGCGGAACAATAATGGTTTAGGAAAATAATATTACCTATTGTTGATACTATTTATGAAAAATAGCAATAGTATACAGTACAGTGAATTGGAAAACATATCATTAAGGGACTGGGATAAATCAAGGGCAAAGCTCAGCGTTCATCATAACAACGAGCTGAACCAGTAACTTCCGAAAGTTCCATTTACACAGTCATTTCTTTCCATATCCAGGAATAAAAAATACAATCTTTACTTGTTGCCCTTTAGACATAATGCCCTAATAGCAGTCTGAATGGAATGTGATGTAGTCCAGCTATTCCACAGGAATGCATCAACAGTTCAGAGTGCCTCTAATAAGGAACGAAGAGTTATTGTGATGTAACTTCAGTCTGAAGAATGAATTTAAAAAGCCTATTTTTAGAGCAGTTAACTGTAGTTGCAGCGGCTCTCCAGAAGAGGGAGATTTTAAACTATGTATATTTTCCATAGGCAGGGGGAAAACAATCTAGCATATAGGACAAGTAAGGTTTTACTTGGGATGATGGATCAAAAGAAAAAAACAGACCAAAACCACTCTATCCTGCAAGCTAGTGCTCATACTATAAGGATATCACATTAAAAAAAAAAACAAAAACAAAAACCCTTCTTAAGCTAGCTTGCACTACAAAACGCTTAACTGATGTGCAGTTACTACATAATGTATATGGCATCCTGTATAACATACAGGCCAACCTCCTGTGTGATAAAGGTTATATCAAAAACTCAGAAAACCTCTGGAGGAGCGATACACTGCTGATAGCAGAAAAATCCCACTTCAGAGTTATGATACCAGAGGCAAAAACAAGAGATACTTGGATTGGTCCTAAGGAAGACGACTTCACCCATGGCTAAGAAGATACTAATACTAAAGCAGAAGTAAATACTTGTACTGGTAAGATGCTGGTGATGCTAATGGTCAGTTCAAAAGCTTCAATACAGAGGAAGATAAGGGCAGTCAAGAGGTCTTTGGAATGCCTGGTCTAATACAGTACCAGGATCGTTGTTCAGTGATAAGCGTTTTCTCATTTCTGATGAATCTTAACCATCTGCCTGGAGTTGTTAGGATACCTCACAGATGAAACAGAAAAAGGTGACCAAAGTTTCCTCTCTTCTAGATCTTTATACTCTGCATGAAACCTCTCTGCTGGCTTAACAGCTTGCACGCCCTGCAGAATACAACTTACCAGAAGCCACCAAGGTGACGATGCACTATTGTCTCAAATGATCTTCTGGGATAAGAATTTGACTCAGAGCATGCCAGTTGCCCTTATACACTGTTCAGGAATGTGACCATTACTGAGGCAGAGAATATATCTGTGCCTATTGCTCAATAGCATGATGGCACCAAAAGACAGGCAAAGCTTGAAAACTAGCAACTTACAGTTTGGCACTCTAATGAAACAATAATGCAATGTCCTGATCATGGAGAATGTCAAGGAGTCTTAACATAATTTAGCCGAAGAACCAAAATGTCATCAACTGGAATGAGGAGAAGGTGTACGTGAGGTAGTGCCATCTTATGGACTCTCTGCTGGAGGTGTAAGAATCAGAGGACATATGACCTGTCCCAGCCGATAGCTTTTGATAAACAGATTTTTTGATACAGTGTACTGGAAGAGTACCAAAGGCCCAATATTTATGAAGCCCACTTTGGAAGGGAGAATGGTATCAACAAAATGCTATCAAACATATAAGGGAAATAAAGTAGGGGGAAAAAAGACTCCCCCCTCCAAATGGGCTATCCCCCCTCCAAATGGGCTAGGACCTTTTTTATATGCAAGTCAAATTCATTCAAAAAGTTTGTGTGCTCAGGCATTCCTTGTAGCCTAGGATAAGCAACACCTCAGCAAAGGAACCAGGAAATGAAATGACAGTATTACACAAAAATCAGTGTGAACAAGCAGAAAAGCTTATTTTCATAATTTGTCAATTGTAAACTCACTGTCGGAAAAAGTGTTTTACAACAGCAAAAGCTTGCAAAGCTCTTGAGAATACAAAAGCCAACGTTCAAACTTCTGATGCTGTAGGGAAAAAAAGGCATGGGAACCGTTACTAAAGGAGACATCACCGATGGTCTCCTAATAGTTTTCCCCATTCACACCATATAACATTACCATACAAAACACACAAAACCTCCCAAAACAAAACACAGACACTAAGATACATCTCATTAAGATTCTTCTGCAGTGTAAGAGAATCAGTGAAACAAAGGCTGTAAGAAAACTAATGCAACTCTACTTAAGAAGCAACTGCTCATCAACTGGTAACCATAACATAGCAGTATTTTCCCTGTAATTAAGTACTGGAGCTTTATTGCTACGGTTTAAGTTCAAGGAAAAATTAGTAATTTAGAATTCAGCAAAAAGTGTATGATTTTGGACTGAATCCTTCTTCTTCTCCCAATAAACAGCAGGTGGTGGAAACTCTTAAGACATACTTATTCATGGCCCAAACATGTTGTTAATGCAGATATAAAGGCTTCTTTATGCTATCTCCACAATTCACTACCACTACACCTAATAAAAGTAAACGCTGTCCAGAGCACTTAATAGATATTGCCTGCTTTTAGAGAGAGAGGAAGGACACAGCTGAGATTGTACTCGCATGGGTCATAACACTTCATTATATATTATTTCTATATGTACAGTCTTTCTTTTTGAAAATAGTTTGAGCATATTTAAAGTGATCTCCTGCATCCAGTTTCTATTGGTCCCCAAAGAACAACTCTGTCCAGAGGCAAGCATATTTTAGCAGTCTGCCTGTGGCTGAAATGTGAGATCAAATGATAGGATTTGAACATGTATCAGTAATTTGAGGTCAGTCAGTGGTCAAAGTGCATTACCATGGGCAAAGTGACTCCCTGGAAACAATCTTGAGTAGCCTGGTCTTTATGGACATACACACCGTAGTCCATTTGGTAAGTAAGCACTGGATAAGCATACATTGACCAGTTCAGAAAATTACATTTTTAATATTGCATTTTTCTTATTTCTTCTCCAGGGAGGCTGCAGGATTTATGAACAAGTTGGAACAAATGTCAAATGACTAAGGACAGCCTTTAACAGTCCAATTTGGTGTAGAACGCTGGTGCGTGCATGCACACACACATATGCAGAAAATACAGGCAGAATGCTTCATATTTAAGAAATTCTTTTTGAAGGAATAGGCAAGAGATGGGCTGTATTTCAGGCGTCCCTTGCTTAACTGGTCTCAGTTTTGTACCTTTAGTGCTGTTCCTTGCCCTAGTGAAATAAATCACATTTCGACATGACTGAAGTGAAAACATAGGTTTTACAGACTGAGAATTCAAAGCATTTCAACTGTACCTACAAGAAATGTATTGTTGCTGTAGTTCTACTGGGAAAAGAAAACTTGAACTACCGACTACCGGGATTTAAATTCCATCCACAAAGGGATCACTTCTCTGGTTGAAAGGGATTGCAACTACAGTTTTCCTTCTTCAAATCTATTTTTTTCTGAATTATCAAGATAAATCTCTTCCGTCCTCTCAGCCAGTTAAACCTACCACTCTTTTGCAAAAATCACTCATCTTATTTGACATTATAATGAGGTTCATATCCTCTTCAAATCTTCTCACTGGCTGGCTATCCACAGAACGCATTAAAATCAAATTAACTGCTCTCATATACAGCCTCAATCTTAAGCTTTCCTTGCTTATGTCAGGACGCTTTTCTGAAGCACAGCTCTATCCTTCTGTGTTGTGTCCCTCCTCATACTTTTTTTTTTTTTTTTTTTAGAAAATTCCTCATATAAGAGACCTTCTCCTGGCCATAGGGGGGACACCACCAGTCTTTTCTCCTTCAAGAACTACCTCCAAGAAGGCTTATATACAATTGCCTTTTATGTATTTCTCCTGTAATTTAAGGAAACAGTGTTGTTCTCAGGATATCCATGTTATTCTCTCAAGCAAATTCTACTCAGACTGATTCCTGCGTTTTACTCCTGACCCGTTATTCCTTACGTTGTCACTTCCTCCTGTTGACTTTAAATAAACAGCCCATGATCTTTTTGGTGTACTAACTCCACATTCAATTGTTTTTATAAATTTTATAAAAATTGTTTTTATAAACTTACTTCCTATAAACATATCATTCCAGTAGGGCTTCATGTAAGATATATTTTGTTTGAGAGAAAACAATATAATCACCGGAGGGAGGGAATTTGCCTGAAGTAGGAATATCATTTTGGCTTCAGTACTGCTTACCATTATACTGATTTCATTGCAGTCCCAGAGGAACTTAATACACAGTGCAAAGCTACTGTTGTTACTTAGCATATTGGAAATGCATGGGCTTTTATAGCTTATGAGGTAAACAAAACACAGTAGCCAGGACAACAACTGTCTTCACAGGAAGTCCCAGAAGATCACAAGCACTTTTTTTTATTGCGCACATTAGAAGAGCAGACGGTAAACTACTGAAATGCATCCTTTTTTTCCCCTCCAAACTAGGTAGATATCCTCATATGTTTAATAAATTATTTATTCTTTAAAAAATTCTAGAAAACCTGTCTGTACAGGTCAGAGAACAAGTGGAAAATTTTTCTCAAGTACAGTTGATGCAAACTAACTGCAGATTACTTTGCTTTTTAGAATTACAGGATTATTTTACTTTAGTTTCTGTGATTTAAAGTATCCCTTTTGAACTCACCTTGGATCAGGCTGAGCAATTTCATTGCTGAGGTTCTCATATCCAAATTGATTTAAAATTGTAACCACAAGCATTGGAGCCAAAGACTGGGCAGGCTTGGTAAACAAGGCATTGGTACCAAAAACCATAGAGGAAAGCGGTGACCTAAAATATTTAGGGAAAAACAAAAACACAACACCCCCACAACACTAAATTGTTAGCATGCATAATAATTTATAATAGTTATTCTTTAAATTCTGTCCATATGCAAATGCTAATCATCATGATTATTTAGCTTTATATTTAACACACTATAGCAAACGGCTATCATGCCCAAATTTCATCTTCTTTGGAAATGAAAGGTAACAAACTCCTGGGGTATACAGAGCTTAGCCCCAGCTCTGAAATGACTCATGCTGGCCACAAAGTTTAACTTTCTGCGCACTGACTAACTATTAAGGAAAAGCTGGACTGAACAGAGCAGGGAAAAATAATCACAATTTAAGACTTCACACGCAGTAGGCGAGAAAAGCAGGCAGTCTTTTTTTCTCTGTGAAAGCAGACGTTCTCATGTTTAAGTCCTTCAACACAGTGACCAAGATTACATACATACACTAATATAAACATTGATGGAAGTGTCCGGAAGTTTTTTGCACGCTGATAAACATCCAGAAGATGTATGACTTGCAATATGCCATGTCACAGCAGGTTTTATCAATTTTTATTTCAAAGAGGTAACAGCAACAACTTAGACTTTGAAGTTTGTACTGTAAGTAGCAGAGGTAAAACTTTCCAGATGCCTTTTCCATGTTAGAAGGGCCTTATCCAGAAAGATGTCTATGCTTAGAGATGTATATGCTAGATGTGTATGCTTACAGAATAAGCCTATTGAAGGTAACAAAAATAAAAATTGTAGGTCTGGGCTTGTGTTACTGTAGTACAATTTAAACTAGAAATGTCCTAATGAACTGTTTAAATTACTCTGCTGAAGCAACTGCAAGGAAACGCGTGCAAGGTCTTATCTGTGCTTACGCTGACTTGCTCTTCCAAAAAGTACTTGTGCGCTGAGGACCCAAGATGTCTCATCATTTGCTGCCTTTACTTTGACATAATCTAACTTACTAAAAGAGCAACATGGCAACATTTAAAGCATATTTAAAGAAAACAATCAAGACTGAACCTACCTCCGTTTGTGTTTGATTAAATCTGCATCAACAATGTCTGCCAAGGGCAGATTGAACAAACTAAATGAGGCTTGTACAATTACCCTAAAAAAAGATAAAACATTTAAGATTTTCATAGCTCTTTTATATACTTCTATAATAGAAAATATTAACTGATGCCTATCCCGACATTCTAACACATACACCCACCCACGCTGACATCTTTGCAAACAAACAAAGCTGAAACGTTCACTAAGACATGGTGACATATCTGGTTAAATACTATTTCTGAAAGCATTACTAGCTCCGTCGTCATAACTGAGAATTAGAAACCTATATGGGAACCTTTTTTTTTTTTTTTTCTTTTTCCCTTGAATTCCAAAATTACTTTAGTCTGACGCTGGTGTAAAAGGTTATAAATACTTGCTTGAGATTATGAGTACAAAGTTTTTAAAATTATAAGAAAAAGGAAACACTTTAGAAGAAAGAACAAGTGAAAATTTCTTCTTGATATCTGAAAAGGACACGAAAAGGACTGGAAAGACTACATCAAAGAAATCGCAAAGGAGAAGAATTAGAATAGTAAAAAATTTATATACATTTTTACATATGTATTTACATTATATAGGCAGATACACAGACAGAGCTCTTAAACTACTAGATGAAACCATAAACTCAATTATTAGGATTTCAGAGGATTTGTGTATCTTGTTACATTTTGGTGTGATTAAGTTCTACGTACAAAAGGCTTTGAACATTTAGCACTTTAAACATTCAGTCTTTAGGTACCTTGGAAGATTTTCCTGGGGAAATCCATATATATCTTCATCATTTAAAGTATGCAGGTAATGAAATTCAATTTATTGGTCACACAATTCAGTGTTACAGTAGCCCATGACTGAAAATACTGAAAATGAGAATGAAAAGGGAACAAAAAAAGGAAGGTAGAAAAGAACACGTAGAAAGAAAGCAGTGAAATAGGAAATGCAGAAAGAAAACGAACTGCTGTTATGCACTGCACTTATGTTCTGATACAAACAGGTTTTCATTTTTAAATAAGGTTTTCCATATGTCAATATGTACCATCTATGCAACTATTAGTTCTGGGCATCATACTTCACCAGTACCTGTGAAAACTGTGACTTAGTATTGGTTAGCTAATACACTCCTGACTTACCAGCATCTGTTTTGCAGTGCAGTACACAAGCGTTCACGCAATACTAAGTAAGGGCTGAGCTTTCGCAGGGAACATTCTCCGAAGAGTTCCTCTACTGAGACCTTCTTTGTCTTTGTGGATGAAATGAGATTCTGCTTCACTAGGATCTGAATTTGTCCCATATTAAAGTAGATATGTGGCTAGAGGCATGTGGCTGCAATCCTTAATTACTGTATTTATTCTACTGTTACTTTAGGGTTTTTTTTCTTTTTAAAGCAGAAATTAAAAGCTGAAGTAGAGTAAAATGAAAACTGAAAAAGTTGTAACTGGAGGTACAACTTTTCTGACAGGTAAAGCAGAACAGAAAGGAAACTAAACGAGAGTGGCAAAATCTTCCAGCTGTTAAAAAAAAAGTGTGCATTCTGTTAGAATTATTTAAGCATTATCTATGAATAAGGAAATATATTTACTTACATGTTTGCTGTGAGATAAAACGCCAAGAGGTAAGAGTGTTCTGGCCCTAGAAAAAACATGACAGCAGCAGCTATTCCTTCAAAGTAAAAGGAAAACAAGATGATTCTGTAATAACCAAACTTCTTCAATGAAGCATGACTGAGAAGAACAAGGCACTGAAAAGATAATATACACACACATATGAGGAAAAGACAGATTACAGTATTTCAGCGTTAGGAGAGCTATAAAGCACAGACCACACACAAGGTATTATCAACTTAAAGTACAATCCAAATAAACAATACGAACTGAACAAAGAGAACTGCTTATTGGATCATCCTACGCTAGGTCTACAAGGTAAGAATGGTCTAACTTTATTCAAAATTAACCAGCTGAGCACTGCTATATTGTGAGGAAAATATTTCCCGCATTTCCTAACTACTATTTAATGCCCATGATCATTATATCTGATATTCCTTAAATAATTAACTTTGCAGTATGTGAACTGTAAACCGAGCATCTTGCCCTTTGAAGTTTAACTGCCGATCGAAAATATTTTTGGAGAATCAAATTTTCGTTAATATTACTGTCCTCCCCGACATTTATAGATACTCAGCATGACCTTTAAGTTGATAAAGCCAGCTCACCAAGACAGTTGATCTAAACAAGTTATTGACTTTACAGTTAAGTAGAGAAAGGCAGATGCCGGTAGACAATGTATGTAGCTGCGTTTTAATTCTGCCAATCTTAGCAAGCAATAATCCATGCTAGAAGCTAGTGATGGGCAAATTCACAAAACCGTCATTAAGAGCTGCTTATAGTATTAACAAACTGTAAGCTCTTCTGTATCCTTCCTCACTTTCCATTTTAAATAGCACATTTGTAATGCATGATGCTCTTCTCTTTACTACATAAGCCTGCATCGCTATCTACAGGTATGCGGTCCTCATCGCCATCACTTAAGAGAGATTCCCAAGCCCTGTAGAGATAGACATTTTCTCCTTCCTTCTGTGCTACAAAGATGAACAGCTTAATAGTGAAGTACTATTTAAGAACAAGAAGGAACTATCCCTGTACCTCTTTTCCAATATTTAAACACTTCAACACAAGGAATAAGACCAGGACGCTATTGTCAGACAGAAATGACTGTGGCACATACTGTTTTGAAGAAGCTCAAGTTTTCTACTTAAACCAATGAGCAGGGACTATAAAGACCAGGTAAAACAAATCTGAAAAGTTGCTATAATAAAGCAATCTGATTGAAAGAAATTAAAACACAATCCCAAGCTACGTTTAGGCATTTTGCAGAAATGCACTTATATTAGAAATGGTAAGACATTATGTAATGCATGTCATTGTAAAAACCATGACCGTGTCTCCCTATAATTGAGAAATAACCCTGTGTCAGGAAGCGCTTATGGTTTAGAAAATTCCTGACAACTTGCGTATTTCTAAGACTGCATGTTTCTAAGAAAAATACTATCTTAATGATGCCTTAGATTTAAATATGCTTGCATTTGTTTCAGCAACAAGGTTTCCCTGCTAGGCAGGTTTTATTCTTGGCATCCACTGCAAAAAGGAACCCATGAGAGAAGCTGCGTTCTAGTTTAGTTCAGGCCACTGAAGCACGTTCATAAGGGGCTTTATTTTACACGGGTTGGGTGCTTTTCCAGTAAGTGAAGTTCAGGACATTGCCACCAGATAATTCTCTTATTATATCTTGAGCTCAGAGGGACAAAACCTAAGAACAAAATAAGGTCACAGCAAACTCTCTACGGTTCAGCGACCTTCTAGACAAAGAGTCTCTGGGGAGCAGAGAGAAACGCGTTTTCTGAAAGATTGTCCGTTTTACACTGTCACACTGATTTTATCAACAGCACTGACTAATATATATCCAGAGTAAAATTACTAAAGCTGTCCTAAATCTGTAATTTCTGTAGTTTCTGATGCACTTCCAAAGAAGGTCATCACCTAACAATTTAGTTGAGTTAAAGCTGTGGTAAGGGTAAAAGTTGAGAGGACAGACATTTAAGAGCTATGGAAGAAAGAAGGAATGCTTAGGATTTCTAGGAGAGAAAAGTCACTTTTTCGGTATTATATAAGCAAAAGCCCGAACTGTTACGGAAATTCTCAGCTGCGTATTCTAGCTGCACTTTCCGGTATCTCCTTCTAGGTTTTATTTATTAAAAAAAAAACCAAACATTACAACTTAAAGAACCAACAGCCCAATTTTCAGAAATTCTGAGCACCATCAGTGCCTGTGAGGAAAGCCGGGGTACTCAGTTTTTGAGAAATCCAGCAAGTAGTAAACACAGTAGCAGTTTTTAAAGATCCAGTGTCCGAAGTTAGAAGGGAATTAGAACGCACATTTTCTTATTTACTGCAAACAAGTACATTTACATTTCGTGGGATACATTTTCGGTGCTTTTCTTGCTCTCATAAGCTACTAGCTTGGGTTCTCTCTCTTTTTCAGTTCATCGCTCCTCCTCCCACCTCTGATTGGGCTCTTGAAATTGCCTCTTTCTCCATACCCTCTAAATGTAGCTGATCAGGAGAGCAAACAACAAAATAAATCTTAATTTATCATTCTCCAAAAGTAGCTATTTAGAGTTTTCTTCAGCTCCCATGACTGAGATCTCGTATACTTCAAGACTGCTTTTCATACCTAATAATTTTCCAGGGTTTTGTGCAATGTATCTGGGAAACTTCTGGAAGAAGAGATTGTTTTGTCATCATATAAGACAAAATACAAAAACAAAGAGAAAAGAATTCAGAATGCTACCGATTTTGCTTTTAGGAACTTTTTCTCCTGACCACGTTTCCCATTCCTTTATACTGAGCTATTATAAACCCTGTAAGACACACAATATTCACTCTTTGCACACCCACGTTTCAAATTCTTGTATATTCGACCAATTTGCCTGCTTGCCCTCTCTGACTACCCTACTCTTGTATTTGCTTAGCCTGTACACACAAGTACTTTGTTCTTTCAGAGCGCTGGTGAGCTAGCTTTATTTCTCAGCATGACCAATAGCTTATGCCGGATACAGCATTTGTTCTGCAGAACAGTATAAATGGATACCTTACTCTACTGAGAACGAATAAAACACCATCGTTTCATCTTTTGAAATAAAAGAAGCATACTGCTTACCTGAGGACAAATAAAGCCTGCTCCATACATGACACTTCTTATTGAGGAAGAAAGGACATCCTTAGGAATGAGATTATCCGCAAAGATCATCATAAAATTGTTGCAAAAGGCAAGGTGGAAGACTTGGAAGAAGTTCATAGTTACAAAAAATAAAAGTTTTTCTCTGCCATAATCTGTTTGGTTAATGAAATTACAGAGGACCAGGAGAGAGCTCCATCACCATTTTCCAGAGTAGCGCTCTCCGTAAGAACTTCTCTCTGCTCATACTGACTTGTGCTATATTTGCCTGTGTAACACATACAAGCTGTTGCCAACGCTGCAACCAAAACAGTAAAAGCCTGAAAACAGGCAAACTTTTCCATGTTGTCTGATATTAGACCACAGAAGAGAATGCTTGTTGATCCAATTAATGTTGCTACTTGGTTATATTTAATAAGCTGAAGCCTACTTTCATGTCTTGTGGAAATTTCTGCAAAGAGCGCGCATTGTGCTAGAAGCACAAACGTAAGCAAACCATCAAAAGCACATAAAGCAACAATAAGGTGAAGACCGCTTAGCCAGTCACCTTCCTCATACTGTTTCCAAGGAAACCAAGGAAGCAAAAAGGCTAACGCATACAAGGGAGCTCCATATAAAATTGAAAACTGACGTCTTGAGCAGCATGCGAATTTGGAGTTGTCTTGAATATACCCAAAAAGAGGATCATTAATGGCATTCCATATCATAAATACCACCTGTGACAACAAGCATGAAAAACAACAGAATTTATCATTAGTGTCATTCTTCTGCAGAGGCTGTGCAAACACACAAGTAATAAACATTGTATTTATGCAAAATAAATCTCTATTCAAAGAATAAAAAGAGAGGGAAGCTTGCCAGGTCAAAATGGACTCAGGAACACATTTCCAAAGGTATTTAGATGTTGACAGTAAACGAGTAGCTTTGAAAAACAAACCGAATAGGCAGGAAGGTGCCCAACTCCAGTTGAGATAAACCCCTGTCTCCAAGACCTCACTCCCTCAAAAGCTTATGTATCTGGGCTTTCATCTCACAAGCTCTTACAGCAAGTAATTTAAAGCATGAGTTGGCCATCATATTCAGGAGATCATTTAGGTGCTCAAGTTGCTCACATGAGTAGGAACTTGCAGAAAAAAAGGCAGTATTTAAGTACTTAAATAGTCCATAGGAAAGCACTGAAGTCGAAGGTCTCCATGAAGCTGAAGTGCAAGATTAGTTTAGAACATTACTTCAAGTTATGAAAGGTAAAAATCTTTCCAGCAATGAAAGTCCAGAGATTTTTTAATTTAAAGACTGTAAACAATGCACTTTAAGTATGCCTTCAATTGCTCATGCATTAACTAAATTTAACATGGAATTTTTGTATAACTATTTGCAATAAACTCAAAAGGAATTCATTAATAAAAATAACTTTGATATGCCAATACAGACACAGAGCACAACACAGAAATCAAAATATTCCGCTGTACAATACCTGTGCTTGATGAAACGCTACTTCTGAAATTTTGTATTGGTTTAGGAAAAGCTTAACGTAGTAGAAATTAAAGATACTGTTCATCATTCCAGCACCTAATGTAGTCATGGAATATGCCAGTGCATTAGGATGAATTCCCCAAACAAACTTCATTTCCAAATTGTGCAAGTCTCTTCTTTCTCTAGTTACAAAAGAAGAATTACAATCGTTGGTAGAAACATTTTCCAAAGCAAAAAGACATGGGAGATTTGCTTGTTTCAGAGAAGCGAAACTAGTGTCTTGGATGAGAATTTCCCCATCCTCAGTCACTTTTTTGTTAAACGCGCAACACATTTTACTGAGGTACGAGACACTGAGCACAAAACTGAACAGGTGTAAAAATTAAGCATGGCATTTCCCAATATAATCAGTCCTTAAAAAACAAAAGAACAAGTAGACAAAATGTCAAGAGCACATAAAGCAACTGGTGCACAGACCCAACACAAAAGTCTGCTACTGCAAGCACTAATCTTGAGGTAGAGTTCAAAGCAACTGCGTACATTTTACATCCTTCCTGCTAGCTACGTAGTTCTACAATTACAAAGAACTGGGTAGGAATGAAGTGACTCAATTCATATTCCTGTGTATTCCATTGTTATGAATGTCAAATTCAGCATGCGCTTAGATGAACATTTATTTTAAAATGAATTCAAAGCTTTGTCTTCCTATTTTCTAATGTTACTAGTTAACAAAAAGGAGCCCAAGTCATGGAAGCAATATTTTCAGCTAATAAACTAATGAAACTTACTTAAAGCAATCAAAATACCTTTTAAGAAACATTTTCGTACTGGAAGAGAACTTGTGTAAATAAAATCCAGAAAGTAACTCATATAGAGTAACACAGGATTTGGAGTATATCCAAATAACAGATTCAGCCCAAGGATATATAGTTCCTTAATATAGCAAACAGATCTTCAGCCAACAATTTTGTAACATGTTGGCTTTTTCCACATATCTAGCATTTAGCTGAAGTATGTTTAGTATAAACCCTCCAATGAAAATAGCTAGAGGTTCTGGAGAACCTCTACCTTTTAAAGCAGAGCAATGAGTACCTTTATGGTCCTTGACCAGATTTGATTCTCTAATCCCAACACGCCAATACTTCTCTTAGATACTCTGTCCTTAACTGAGCCTTTATTCATCTGTATATTTGTTCAAAAGAAACTGTCTGCCATAAATTCGGCTATTACTTCAGGTTCAAATCTCAACCTTAATTAAGGACACTAACTCCGAACTTTGCAGCCCGTGTCCCGTCAATGGTCCACACTTCACTCTTGTGCGCTATACTAACAATTTTATCCTAAAAGCTATTTTTCAAATATTCATCAAAATACACGGTTTGAATATTTGATTGTTCAGCTTGATAAACAAATCTATTAGCAATTCCTTGAACTCCTCATAAAATGATCATGAAAGAAACAGGAAATGAAAAGCACGGCTGTTTCGAACCTTCCTGCTGCCTGTGGTTCACCAAGTGGCTGAAGACAGGCTGCTGTGAGGAAAACAGTAAATTCTTCATCACCAGGTGAGGGCCAGGCAACAGACAAAGCAGGGGACTGGAAAATTGTCTATTCTGGCTAAGGCAGAATATGGAACAGCAGTTCTTCTATTCCCTCCAACACAGAAAGTGAGGTATTTTAAGAGCGGTAAAATGAGGGTGTATTTTTGTACCTCTATTTAAGATGCTCAACTATGAAACAATAAGCAAAGAGGAAATAACTCCTCTTTACAAGTAAGGAAAAAAAATCAAGCTGAAAAACAACTTGATCAAAGTTTTTTTTTTCCCTCTAAGGCCAACCTTTTCTTTTTTTTTTTTTTTAAGCACATGACTGAATTTGTATATACTTGAGGATGACAGTGATATATGTTTTCAAAGTTATTTTTCATGGAGCTATGGCTATAGCAGTATTTCCATGTCCAAGGGATGAAATTTTGCATTTTTGTAACAAGTTCTGTTTCATAAACTATTACCGAGAAACCTAAAATGGAAAATAAGGTTATTGAAACGATCCCCATTTAAAATGTTTATTTTAGAAGTATAATACTATAAATTGTGAGCGTCATTATAGAAGCGTGCTACTGACAAGCGCCGCATTTTAAAATGAAGGGCGTATTCAAGCCTTCACAACTACACTTAATGTAGTATTTAAGTAGCAGATTGGTGTAGCAGATACTAGGGCACTTGGAAAAGTAGGCATTTCGCACGTATTTCCTTGTGCAAGACAGCACGGGTTTCCCAACAGGAATTGTGGGCCCCTCGCCTCCCTCAAATTCCACGAGCACCAAGAAGAAACGTGCTTCGCGCTAGCTTTACCTGCAAACTAGTACTTCAAATTTTTCCTTCTTCCAATCACATTTGACTCAGTTCCTTCCTACACACAGATAAAAAAAAAGGTCTCCTCAGCTTCAGAAAATTGTGAAGTAGTATTTCTTTCACAAAATCCTTCTCACAAGGGACAAACAGGCCTCAAGTGCCATGACTAACTGCAACGCACAGGACCTGACACAACGATTTACACTAATTGGCACATCTGGTCCTGTACTTTGTTTATGAAACAGGCTCAATTAGAAGTTGAGGTGCCACACTTCCTCTCCCAACAGACGTGCTCTTTTTAATTGTACAGCCGGGGGATCACGCACGACCATCCCCTCCCTCTTCCCAAGAGCCAGCCTTTATGTTGAACACGCTGAAGAGCAAAGCGCTGACATTCTGTGACTCAGAGAGGGCGAACCAATTTCGGGAATCTCTCACAGAAACCCAGCGCCCGGCGCCAGGAGGAGGGAGCGGGCAGGGCCGCGGGCCTCCGCCGC